GGTGTTATCAGGAACGTTCCTGTTGACTTGAGTGACAAAGAACTTGAGGCGAACATTGATTCGTTGATTGAGGTCAAGAGTGTGGAAAGGATTTGTAGAAAGGTGAAAAGTACTAATACTGATGGAGAAAACACGTTTAAATTGGAGCCTACAGAATCAGTTAAAATTAATTTCTTAGGTACCGAAATTCCGGAGTCGATTTCTGTGTTTGGAGTTATTAACCTAAAAGTTACTCACTTTATTCCCAATGTTAGACAGTGTTTTAAATGTGGACGACTAAATCACACCACAAGTCGCTGCAAGGCTAAGGATAGGTGCAGGAGCTGTGGTGCCCAGGACTGTAAAAATACCTGTAAAGTTAAAAAGTGTATTTTGTGTAATAGCCCAGATCATCATTCCTGGAGTAGGTATGAATGCCCTGTATGGGCAAAAGAGATGCACTTAATGAAACTAATGACGATTCAAAAATTGTCCAGGAAGGAAGTCCTGGAGAAATATTCTTTGCCCAGTGAATTTCAGGTTTTTAATAAGTATGATCAAGATTTTCCTTCATTAACTCAGACAAGCATTCCGGTGACAGTCAACAGAGATGAGGTAGTGAACAAATCATTAAAAAAACATTCCTATGTGACCAGATTAGTGCAGAGACCGACTGCACCTATTATGAAACCCAATTTCCCTCCTTTGGAGTCCTATGAACATGTGAAATCTGACTGGAAATTTAAATATCCAGACAGAGAGGAAATTTCAGAAAAAGACAGTACATTTTTACTCATTAAGGACTTAATTCAACTTATTTTACCTCTTGCTGAGGGTAAGAGTGAAATTCTGGAAAGTGTCATGAAAATACAAAATAAAATAGAATTTTTAAAGCAAGACAAAAGAAAACTAACACGTAATAAATCTGATATGACGACCGTTAATCATTTAAATGCCTATTAAAATTTATCAACATAATGTCCAATCTTTATCTTTTAATAAAAACGATATTGAGTTTGTCTTAAATAACAATAACTATGACATTGCAGTTCTTTCTGAAGTTTTTTCTCACAATGTGTTAAACAATCGAAGAAAGATTGCGCTTTTCAATATAATTGAGAAACATAGAGACGACAATTATGGAGGTGTGGCCATTGCGTTTAGAAAATGTATTAAATTCAAAAGCATTACTTACAGGACTGATAACGACGTTATTGTTGCAACAACATTAAACCTAAACCCCAATATAACTATCATTTCTGTGTATTTTGAACCTTCATTATCCATGGATGATTTCAAGTGTGAAATTCTAAATATTCTTGACTTTTCTGATAATTTAAACAATGTCTTTATTATTGGTGATTTCAATGCCAGGAATACAGTCCTAGGTGATTATACTAACAATGCTCGAGGTAAATTTCTTATTGAATCAATGAACAATGCTGGTTTTGTTTGCCTGAACTCTGGTAGTCCTACGTACAGAAGACATATTGATAGTGCGCAAGGTTCTGTGCTGGATCTAGCTTTCACAAATGCTGGGCTCAGTACATCCTGGGAGTGCAAACCTTTATTTGTTGGTGGTAGTCATCACCACCCTGTAAATATAGAAGTTCTTGATACAGCAATGAAAAGCAGTACCTTCATAGCAAAAAACAGATTATTGAACAGTTTAGGAAAAACGGTTTTAAACGGTGACATTACTAACATAGCTAGTACCATTAAGGAAAAAATTAAAAAATCTACTTACATTATCAAAAAGAATAGGATTCCTAAACTGTGGTGGAATAATGACCTCAAAATTCTTTTCGAGAGATACAAGGCTACTCAGACCTTAGCTAACAGACACCCTTCAATGGATAACTATATTTTAGCTGTCAATGTAAAGGCAGTATGGAAAAAGGCTGTGAAAGCTGCAAAGAGTCTCTCTTATATGGAGAAATTAGAAGAAATAAATGAACAACCTTCTAATCAGTCTGCTTGGAACTTCCTAAAAGCTCTTAAAAATTTAGATTCTGGTAACTATTGTAAATTAAATATGTCTGATCAAGAAAACTATCTGCAGTATCTGGAACAACAAATACCAACGGATGTTTCGAACTCAATGTTTCATGATCAAATAGTGGATGCTGAACTCTTTCAAGAATTTAACTTAGTTGATCTTAACCTGGTTTTAAGCAAAAAAAAGAAAAGTGCTGGAGGTCATGACGGTGTAACTTTTGAGATGTTAAACAACCTTGACTCTAATTGTAAATCACACATGCTGAAGCTTTTTAATCAATTAATCAGAGACAATAGGATTCCCGAGGAATGGAGAATAATTAAAATTATTCCTATTCCCAAAAAAGATAAGGACCTTACGGATTACAAGAACTTCAGACCCATTTCCCTTATATCTGTTTTTGCCAAAACGATAAATAAAATGATTAAGGAAAGGTTGTGTGAATTTATTGAAAGTGAGTACATTTTGCCTGCTAGGTGTTTCTCTTATAGGAAAAACAGATCAGCTGCTATGTGTCTGAACGATATTTTAAACTCGTGTGAGCTATACAAATCACGTAAAAAGTCCGTGGCAATGGTAATTCTTGACCTTGAGAATGCATACAATTGCGTCAATTTGAATTTCCTCAAAAGAATTATGGTTTCGGAAAACATTCCTCCAATTTTTATCAATTGGATACATAACTTTTTTAAAATCAGAATACTAACTCTAGGTAAATACACTAAAACAGTAACAGGAGGTATTCCGCAGGGCAGTTGTTTGTCGCCTGTTCTCTTTAATTTGTACACGAAACGCTTACATCAAATACAAGACAGGAATACTGAGGTTTTTCAATTCGCAGACGATTTTATCATCTTATCCAGTAAGAGATTTTTTCAAGATATGGAGGATAACTTACAGTCTAAAATCAATGACTTCGAACTGCTATGCAGTGATATCAATATGTCCTTCAACTCAGGTAAAACCGTTTCACTAGTTATGTGCAACGGAAATAGTAGAACTCTTAACATTCAAGCAACTAGTGGAGTTATTAGGCAAGTGAGGAATACAAAGTTACTCGGTAGGATAATCTCGTCCAACGGTTCCCAGATTGAACAAGTTAAAAAAATCAAAGGTGATAATAATAATGCGATGCAAATTTTAAACTTAGCAACCACAATTAAGTCAGGTTTAAGACCAAAAGTTGCGACTAACATTTTTAAGACCTTTATTAGGTCAAAGAATGAGTACGCACTCACCTCATATGGTAATCTTACAAAGTCTTCCAGTAAACAGTTGTTCATTACACAGGCAAAATCTCTCAGAAGATGTGTTGGAGTAAATCCTTTTACCCCAAAATTTATGGTTTTTGCTTTAGCTGGTGTTATCCCGCCTTGTTATAGAGCTAAAATCTTGACTGCTAAGGAACTCATTAAGCTTAAAACAATCGATGTTAACAGATTTAATACAATTATTAATTCTAATATTAAAACCAGCTATAAGGTAGTCTATGATTCACTCAAACTTATCATTGACAGAATACAAATTGCAGATCATTATACGTATTTTAAGAATATTGTTATCCAACTAAATTTTTCGTCTAACAACAAAAAGGATATTGCAAAAGAGGAGGCCAAAGGTAGATACAGTGAATTGATCAGTTATTTCAGGCAGAATGATTACAATATCATATCCACGGATGCCTCTGTCACAAGCTCGTGCACAGGACTCGGCATAGCCGCTATCTGTGATAGGAGTAATGAAATGTACAAAATAGAGAATAGAATGAGCTCGGTTCAGGCTGAACTCTTAGCAATTAAACAAGGTTGTATCTTAGCTATTAAATCTAACTGGAGGAAGGTGGCCATACTTACAGATAGTAAGGGCGCGCTTATGGTACTACGTAACAAAAACTGTGATAATAACACAGTATCTGATATTCATAATCTTCTTAGTATTTCGTGTATATCCTCATGCTACCTGCAGTGGATACCTGGTCATATGTCTCTAGACTTAAACGAAAAGGCTGATTTTTTAGCTAAACAGGCCGTTTATGATGGCACTGATATTGATTACAAACTTAGTATAGGTGAAGCTAAAAGATTGCTAAATCAAGAGATTTGGAAAGAATGGGGATCTGAGTACGAAAGATTAGCAAGGGAGGATGGAGGCATCTTTGCGAAGACTTATCCTACATTATCAATTATTCCGTGGCACATAAAACTTAAATGGAAGGCAAAAGACATTAAATTGATTAATAGATTAATGACTGAGTCTACATATGACAATTGTTTTCTGTTTCGTATTAAGGCAATTGACAGCAATCTTTGTGCCTTATGTAATCTGATCGACGATGCCAATCACCAAATTTTTAACTGCCAAAGACATATCTTGATCAGAAGAAAATTTAAAATCTTTAATCGTTTCTTTAATATTTCAGATCTCATTTTATCAAAAGAGCAGCTTTTTTATAGAGAAGTTGCAAAATTTATTAATGAAGCACAAATCAACTTGTAGGTAATTTTTATTTAACGTTAATTATATCCATGTAGAAAGGTAATTCGTGGATTTGCCACCGGCCAACCCCGCTGTTCGGGAAGCATCCATGCGATACTATCCCGATATATCGTATCTGGTCATATGCACACGTCGTGCGACCATCACTATCAGCAAGCATTGCTGAAAACAAAGCCAAAAAAAAAAAAAGAGAACTTTTTGCGCGAGAGAACTTCTTGGAAATATTTAATAAGAAAGAAAGCCCGAAATGGAGTACCTCTACAACGCCAGTGTTCACTGTGAAGACGAGGAGCGCGTCAATTTCTACAACCTGGACAAGTTCTTTGTGCCCCATGTGCAGGCCAAGAATCTGGAGAAGCAGGCCATCCTGCGGCAGCCCGCCTGGCAGTGCCGGTATCATTGGAACCTGACCCCCATCTCCAGTTATTGGCAGGGAATTATCATCACTAATGCATAGACATATATATCATTCAATTTGGAGTAGAACCCCCCGAACTAATGAGACAATCTCCTTGTGCCTTTGCAGATGATGACTATGGACATTACCAAAACCGAACCCGGACTCGTCGGGCTTTCCTCCAACCAACAGCAGCAGCAGCAGCAATCCCAGCAATCCAACGCCGGCATGAACAGCGGCGGCCAGAACAACGGGCCCAATCCCAATGGCAACGGGAATGTGGTCAATGTGGTCAACTCCGGCGGAGCCGGTGGCGGCAACAATGGCAACGGGAATGTCCAGAGCATCGCCGCCGCGGCCAACAATAATAACAATAACAACAACAACGGTAGCCAATTGTGCGCAGGATGCGGCAAGCACATCCAGGATCGCTACCTCCTGCGCGCCCTCGACATGCTGTGGCACGAGGATTGCCTCAAGTGCGGCTGCTGCGACTGCCGCCTGGGCGAGGTGGGCTCCACGCTGTACACCAAGGGCAACCTGATGCTCTGCAAGCGGGACTACTTGAGGTTGGTGTTAGTATGTCATGCATAAGATGGGATAATGTTATTAATGAGTTTTGGGTTTTAAATTATCCTTAATACTTGAGAAAAATACCTAATGGTAGATTTAATTTATTATTTAGATTTTTTAGTAATACAAAAGATATGATAATGTTGTGAAAGATTAATAAGTTTAGGTTTTAAATAATCCCTAATAGAGAAAATTACCCAATGGTAGAATTAATTTATTTATGAGATTTTAGTAATGTTTACAAAGCTAAAACTAACAAATATTAGGACTATAATATGTAGTTTTTTTTTTTTTAATTTGAGGATACCTTAAAGAAGCATAAAACTAAACATTTTGTGTTGATTCAAACAAATTATTTAACAAATTATTGAAAAGCGATAATGTTTAGCTACAACTATCGTAAGAAACCATATATTATTATGGAATTAGTTTCCTTGCTCCTTGAGTTACGGATGTTCTATGGATTTGTTTTGTTAAATATTTTGTATACAAACTTTTTAAGTTTCTCATTAAATTAAATAAACTTACAGATTAAAAAGTTATTAAAGAAAACTAAAATAATCGCATAAATAATTCAGTATATTGTTTATATTATTTAATTCCCATAAACATTTTTAAATCGATGTGACTAACGCAACATCAGTATCAACTTGTAGCGTTAGGATATGAACAATTAAATAATAATTGTGATAATAAAATATGTTAACTAACATTCCTATTTTTGCACCTTAGATATCATACGATACGGAATATTATTATTTAATAACTAAAAAGATTTCTGTGTTCCTTGAGTTAGGGATGTTTAATGTATTAGTATTTCTTAAATATTTATTGTACAAATATATGAACTAACTTTTATAAGCTAGAAGATATCATAAGATATGGAATATTATTTAATAACTAGACAGATTTCTTTGATTCTTGAGTTAGGGATATTTAATGTATTATTTTTATGAATTATTAATTGTACAAATGTATTAAAAAACTTTGTTTATCCACCGCAGATTGTTTGGCAATACGGGCTACTGCGCCGCTTGCAGCAAAGTGATCCCAGCTTTCGAGATGGTGATGCGTGCGCGCACCAATGTCTACCACCTGGAGTGCTTCGCCTGTCAGCAATGTAACCACAGGTGAGCATCGAAACAAACTCCATTCACTCATCGAACCCCCATCCATACTATCCAATCATCCAATCCTATCCTATCCATCATATGGAAGCGACTGACTATATTTCGCATGCATTTTTATGGGCAATTTGCACACAGATTCGCATTCGGAGGTGGCTGCATAAATCCTTTTTTAATCTTCGGCCCATCGTGGCGGCCCCAAAGTGGCACTTGAAGTTTTATTAACGTGCTGGCAGCCGGCAAATTGCCGTCGTTTACAAGCTAACAACACAAACAAATGGGGTGGGTGAAACGGGCCCTTTAGTGTCATACGTTTTCTATGAAAACCGCATAAATTTCGCATTGAATCGAACCCGAACCCTTTTGGGTGCCATCAAGTCATCGCCTTCTCAAATATTTTATTAGACTTGGCCAATTCGTGAAATGTCACTCTGGAGAGCTTTAAACTGCAGCCAGGCTGGTGAAGAAGGGGTCGCGTCTCATTCTTCCCTTTGGTCAGCAATTCCGCCTCGTTTCGTTTGGTTTGGTTTCGTTTTCGTTTCGGGTTTCTGCATTAATAATGAGGGCGCACATATGCCTCCGACTTGCCCAGTCCACAACGAAAACCAACGGCCGTCGTCGATTGTGCAACAAGGGAGCGAACATTAAATATTAAAAATGCCGCCACACGGTGCTGGGCTGGTAAAAAATATTGAAATAAATGTTAAAACATATTGGCATATTGTGAGAATCGTCTCCACCCGTTGTTCGATCCCCATCTCGGGATCTCCCTTTTTTTTCGCTGGGCCTTTGTTCTGCGCATTGCGATTGAGAATTGCGTTTAAAAATGTAAGAGGAGCATCGAACTCGGAGGTTCGGAGGTCACCTGCCCAGGCGGAGGAGGAGCTACCATTATGGTTAATTTGCTAGAAACCATTTGACTTTATGATTAGTTCGTAGGCCCAAGATCAATTATATAAGATTGCCGGCCATTAAAGGGCACTTGTATGGTTGTTAAAAGGACTTGTAGGACATTTTATAGGAGTAATGTATAGAAAATGGTTTTTAAAGCTTATGATTTGAGTTGAAGGTAAAGGAAAAATTACAATTCCAACGTTCTATAAATTCTTTCTCCCAGTTATTGATAATATATGGTTGTTATAGGACTCTTTCATATCTTTAATATACTTTGCATTGTAGTAATGGTATTAAAAGTGCTAATAAGAGCTTAAGATTTGAGTTTATGGTTGCTAAAATCACAATTCCAACCTTCTATGAACTCTTTTTCCCAGTTATTGATAATACACAAAAAAAAATTGAAGCACATATTTCTCCTCCTGCTGCTAATGAATTTTTCACGTAAATTAATTCAATTGCCGAAAAAATCCATTGAGGCGTGGCCGCATGGCCAGCGGCTGCTCCACTTCACTCCACTCCTCGTTGTTGGTTTGCATTTAAAATGCGGGCTTTCATTTGGCAAACAAAAAGAGTTTTCCTGTTGAGAGTCCTGAGTCCTGTTTCTGTTTGGGAAATGTTGCAAAATGCATTGCCGATTGCCTGCGACTGCGACTGTGAGGTTTGCATAATTTCCTGTCGTCAGTTTCGAACGACGACAACATCCTTGCTTGCTCTCCGATTGGACTCCAATCCAAGTCAAATCTTTCGACCGGGCGATTTATATTTTTTACCGTTTTTACCCATATATACAATATATTTTTGTTTTTATTTTTTGGTACTTCCTGTTGACAATTTGCTGTTGGTTGTTGGTTGGTTTCTTCTGCTCGCTGGGGGAGGAGCAGACGGAATGCCCGGATGTGCGAATCCCGCACAGAGGCACTCACTTATCAACATGTCCGTGTCCATTTCCATCGCATCGCCATGTCACAGGTGCGCTCAATGCCAGGCGGCCAGCGGCAAAAGAAGCAAAAGTTTCGCTTTGTTGACTCTTTTCGAAACCCAAATTTTTTGTTGCCTTGTTTTGGTTGATAAACAAAGCGACGTTTTTTACTCACTCCGCCGTGTTCTGCCACGCCCACCGCCCACCGTTCGTCCGTCAATCGATTTGGCCAACGCAACCGAAACCAGCAGGCCAACAAAATGTTGACGTAAATCAAAAGCCAAATTTCATATCCGCTGTAAGTCTGCTGTAAGCTGATTTACCCAGCCTCCTCCGGAATGGATGCAGTGCACCCACGCCCCCCTGGGAATGGGCATCAAACTTTAAACGTTTCTTTTTTTGCAATCATTGGAGGGGGAGGAGGTGAAGTATATCAGGATGTGCATATTCCAGAAAAGATGTGGGTAGTTTTGGAACTTACCAGGCTATTTTTGGAGGGGATATCGAAAGTTTCATTGGAAAACTTAAAGTAAGGTACAAGAAATATTTAAGATTATGTTTTAAGAGGTTTCTAAATTTCCCAGTTTTATTAGAATATTTTTTAGAACTAGTTTTGCAAGACTACTGCCTTTCGAAGGACATCCATATGAAAACTTTAGACAAAGTACAAGGAACATGCTGAATTACCTTTACACCATTTTTCTATCTTTCATTAAAGACATTCCTAACTTTACCAGGTTTAATAAAATATTCAGAATTACTGCCTTTTAAAAATGATCTATATGAGAACTTTAGGCAAATTACACGTAATATGCAGAATTACCCTTTCCCCTTATATTTTACAAGGTTTTGTGTTTTCTTTTTTAAGGAGGTTCCTAAATTTCTTAGGTTTATGAGAAGATTGTGCTGCCTTTAAAAGGACATCCATAAGAAAACTAGAAATATGAAAGATTACTTTTTCTTCTTATATATTAAGGGTCTCCTAAATTTCCCAGTTTTATTCGAATATTTTTTACAAATAATATTCAGAATCACTGCCTTTTCAAAGGTTTTTCCCCCCAGTGCTTCCTATGATTTTCTCCTTTTTTCCGCTCTTTGTCCCCCGTTTGTAATGCGAGCTCCCTTTCGTTTTTTGGTTCGAGTGTGTCTGCTGTTTACTGTTTGCCGGCGTGGGCGTGGCATGTGGGCGGGTGCCTCTACCAACCGTACAGGTGCTAACATAAATATTTTGACAAAGGGCTCCATGGCCGGCTTTCGGCTGGGAGCCAACTTTATTTGCAGTTGGCTGGATGCACTGCCTCCTTCTGCCTCCTTCTACACCAAACTGTTGCTGACAGCGGAGCGACATTGCCAGGCGCTTATCTGACTTCCTTGTCCTGGCTGCCTTGCCTTCCTCCTGTCTGCCACTCAGCTGAGTAGCTGTCCTTCTTCTTTGCTTCGTTTTGCTTTTGTTTTATGACGATCCAGGGTTCCTGGGTTCCTGGAACCGCTGTCAATTGTCATCGCTCATCGTTCGCAGTCGTTGTCTTTGTGCATTTCCCCCATTCACCGTGTCTAAGCGTGTGGAAAAATCGTTTCCACTTCCGACTCTGTCCCTCCGACTTGTCATTCCGTACTAACCACTGCCGTTTTCCGGTCTTTTCTTCTTTCTTTTCTTCAATCAGATTCTGCGTGGGCGACCGCTTTTACCTGTGCGAGAACAAGATACTCTGCGAGTACGACTACGAGGAGCGTCTGGTCTTCGCCTCGATGGCCAATCACCCGATGCTGAAGCGCCACGTCTCCTCGCTGGGCCAAGGATCGCCGACTGGAGCGGCTGGGGCGCAGAACAGTGCCGGCGGACTGCTGGGCGGCGGACCCGGTGGACCAGGCAATGTGAATGGCGTGGGAGTGGGCGGTATGGTGAATGGACCGCGCACGCCCGGCGATCATAATAACAACAACAACGGACCACAGACGCCAACCGGCGGCGGGTCGCCGTTTGCCGCAGCCGCTGCTGCCGCCGCCGCCGCTGCCCATATGAAGAATCAACTGGGAGCGTCCAGCTAAAATAAAGCCCTGGGCATGGGCGCCACTGGGGCTGTTGTATCGGGAGTCGGAGGATCTGGAGTTGGAGTTGGAGCGACGAGTCAGCAGTTCTACTCGGGCTTTGGACTGCAGCACCAGCACCAGCAACATCAGCAACATCAACAGCAGCAGCAGCAGCAGCTCATGGGCTTGGGCCTGGGAATGGGCGGAGGAGGAGTGGGAGGAGGAGCAGGATCCGCCGGTGGAGGAGGAACAGGAGCAGGAGGCGGAGGCGTTGGCAGCATCGGGAGCGGCTGCAAGCGCTACCAAAGAAAGTTCTACAACCGCAACTGAAAGGGAATCGACGGGGGAGAATCGACGCTAGGGGAAAGGATACAGAAATCCAGAATCGATATTCAAATCTTCGTTTGCTTTGACTGAGTTCAAGTTTTATAGATTTAAAGGCTTATTAGTTTAGTAGTAGGCTAACTCTAGCCTACACAAAAGTACTTGCTGAATTTGCAGACATTTTTGGATCTACTATCGTTTAAGCGAGAGAATATGTTTACTTAGTTCTATTCGAGAAGATAGCACCCTATATTTTTTTTTTGTTTCCACTGAAACCTGTACATATTTTCCTTGTAAACTGTTGACTTTTTAGCGAGAACATTTTTTTTTGTATTTCGATATACTCCACCTTATAGATATATTCGTATTTATCTATGTATATGCATAAATAATTTTATTTTCACGCTCGAAGCGTGCGGTGCCAAAACAAATTCAAAGCAGTGCCAAAAAGTTTAAAAATAAACGAAGGATTAAAATGAAGAAAGTGAAGAAGGCGGCTGGAGGATAGGATTTTTGGGACTTGCGAAATCGAGATCCCCACCGATCAATGTTCGAGATTTCAAGCGAGTTCCTTGAATCCCAGAGGAGTCGCAGGAAACAAGAAGGTAGAGACGATGTTAGAGGGCAATTGGCAAAGTGAACTTTGATGTGTAAATATTGAAACATTCTGCACACGACTTAAGCACACATGATTTTTGTTCTGATTCCATTTTAAGTCTGTTGGAGCAACGTTGTTGATTATTATTTAAGTTTAGTTTAGTGCGAGGCTAAAGAATGTTCTTTCCACGGCGAACGTTGTATAGAAGAGCAGCTGGATGAAGGTGGATAATCCAATCCGATGATCGATGATGAGCCAGCGTTAGATGTAAAGAGAGAGCCTAAGCTAGGACGATCTAGAATTAAGGATCTGTGCGTGTGTGTATGTATCGATAACCAAGCGAACTAGTTACAATATGGGTGTATTTATTAATCCTTTTTTTTTGCGCAATCTAATGTAACACTAATCAACATGCGTAATTAGCGTTCGATCGGAGCTAGCGAATATACTAAGTAAAGGGAGAAACCAAAGTGTGTGTATAAGCATCAGTCTATCTACGAGCGATAAACGATAAATGATAAACAATACTACCTATCTATCGAATTACCGAAACTATGTTAAATATCGTAATAATCGTAATAATCAGACCTAAGTAAGAGCGATTACCCAATATTTTTTTTGTATCGTATTGTTAGAGAGCAGGCATAAAGTTAAATCAAAAATATCTAAAGTGTAAGATAAACCCGCTTAGACTTATATATACGTGCATATACATAAAACATAAAACAAAAACACCCCATACTCCGTGTTTTGGACAGCAACAAAATTATAAACAGCCAGAACAAATGCTAAATGCAAATAAAAGAAATCAAAACTAAAGAGAAAAGAGAGTAAAAAACGTAAAAAAACAAAAATATAAAACAAAGCAAAGGCTAAAAACAAAAGGAAACAATAAATGTAATTAACAAACATTTGAAAAAATTAACCCGCAGTTGTTGGCATTCATTTCATCGGCGGGGCTTCCCGGGTAATGGGAATATATGTATATGGTAAATGGTATGTGGTATATGGTACGTATGGCATGATGTAGGGGGTTTGGTTTCCGTTTCCCCTTTCCCTTCCCCACTGCCGATTGCAGTTTGTCGCTTGACATTTGTTGACTCTTTCGCTTTGACGGCCATTAATCACGGCATTGTTGTTGCCAATTTCAAATCCACAGCCCAGACAGCCAATCCGCACCAGAACGGAATGGAAGGCTGATAAATGATGCCTCATATTTTTGAGCCCCGGGCTCCGCAATTGAAATAATAAAACCAAAAACCGAAAAGCTGAACCAGGACCAAACCAACCACCCCCTGAGCCATTGATTAATGAAACTTTAAAAGGGAACACGCGTCTTTTGTCTGCGAGCGAGACCGCAAAACTTTTGCCATGGAGATAGCGCATCTTTTCAATATACGATGCAAAAGTTTGCCGTCTTATGAGGCTGCGGATTGGAATTGAGATTGGGATTGGGAGCCAAGATCGAAGGAGCCAGGACGACCAGGACCAAGTCGAAGCCGCCGCCGCAGGCCATAACAATAAAAGTCATTTATAGATTTCGATTTCGGGCACATGTGAGAGCTTGAGGGGATTCCCCAACTCCCTTTGGAGGAGGGCACTGTATAGTTTCAGCCTGCTTATCAGCACTTTTGTTCGCAGGACTCTAGGGTGGGTTGCTTGGTCCTTTGTCTTTGTTAGCTGGTGTCATAATCAGTATCAGTGCTTATGAAAATGTCCTTTGTCCCACAAAATGCTTATCAGGACGGCCTCCTGCCCATTTCCTTGTCGTCGCCATAAAAATCTATAAAAATAATGTCTCCATTCGGTATGGTCTTCTCTTTTGAGGGGCCCAAGTGCCCCTGTCAATCATTCGGGGTCGGGGTGAGAGGAATGTGTCCAAAAATATACATTATGATAAGCCAAGAGAAATCGCTGGCATTGCGGAATTCGCTTGACAAAGCCACCACCACCATCCCTTCGTCGGATGATTAATTAAAAGGAGTTTGCGTCATAAACTCTTTTCATGTTTTAATTACGCAAATACTCGGCATAATTTACCAGATGCTATGACGACAAGTGGAGAGCGCAGAAATATGCATAAGAAACAATTTGTCTAAGCTGCGGTGCCCTTGGATCCACCCACTCTACACCCAGGCCACCCATCCAATCCACCCAATCCCCCATTGTAATGCGACAACTCTCGACGCCCACCTTGTGTCAACTTCAAAGTGGAAATTCCAGAATTCACCTTGTTTGCATATTCCTCTCCTGATCCAGTTTCCGATTATGTGTTTCTGTTTCTGATTCGGTTTCGGTTTCTGTTCCTGAGCCTGAGCCTGAGCCCAAGTCCTTCAAGGACTCGGATTGCTTTGTGTAAATTAGTTCAGCATCATGACCGGTTCATTCTATAAAAAGTGATATTACTGAAGGACTTAACACAAACAAGGGAATGGGCGGCACTTGAGTGAGTTTACTGCATTATTAGTGTATCGGGGTCACCAAAATCATCTTATTTATGCTATCTACAGGTAGATCATGGATAATGGTTCAAAAACTGTCTTTAATATGGGATATTTACTAACCATTACTCCAAAATTATTAAGAATTGTATGGCAAACTTTTAAAAGAATTTAATTTATCTAAGCCCATCAAGGTCACCAATATTATTTAACAGAATACCTTTATTACATTAAAAATGTTCTTCTTTTATAATATTTATTTATTTATTTATTTATTTATTAAAAATGTTATTCTTTTATAAATATATAATTTAAAAGAAGAACATTTTTAATGTAATTAATTCTGATTTCAAAGGAACAAATCTAAATGACCTTTTTAAACTGTTTAATATTACTTTAACTCTTTTAGATCATGGATCATGGATCAAAAACTGTCTATAGCATGTGGTATATTCCAAAATAATTAAGAATTGTATTGAAAACTTTTAAAATATACATTTTAATTCTGATTTTAAAGGAACAAATCTCTAGTATTACTGTAACTCTTTTAAATAAAATATTTTATTTTGTAAGATATAAGATATATTATTTATGTAATGCGATGATGAAACTTTGCTTTATAAATTGTAGTAAATGGTTCGTTATTCTAGGAAGATTCTTTTGAAGATGCAGTTAATAGATGTGCTGGTCTCAAAAGTACACTTTGGGAATAACACAAACTGAGATTGAAATGATGATGGGATAGTTTCCGCATTCCTCTCCCATAGTTGACAATGCACTCGGGGCAGGTCATAAATATGCTCCCCCACCCTCACCCCCCTTTTCGAAATTCGTGCCTGGGGCCAATCAAGAGGCGGCAGGCAGGACAACACCCACTCCAGCGGTGACCACCATCCCCAAGCTGCCGCCAGAAAGATGTCCTGACCCACATGTCAAGTGGATGTCGCCCCCGTGTCAAGGGGATGGGGCGAGGACGACGGGGAGGGGTGGGCGTGGGAGTGGCCAAATGCCAAATCAGCGTCGTCGTTGTGTCCTTCGTCTTGAGAAGAGCAAAGGAGCGAAGAAGCTAAGTGAGAGAGATAGGAGAGAGGAGACAGTGCGGAGCGAGCGAGAGAGATGCGTGTGAAATGGCAACGCCCACTTTCTGAGGCCCCACCACCCCACTGGGCCACCCGAAAACCACCCAAACCACCACCGAAGAAGCGAGGGCGCCAAGAAAAAAGCACTGTTAGTCGCTAACAGAGTTCTGTTAAGCGGCAGGAGGCGTCGCCAGCTAAACAGGACTCTCAACATTGCGCTTTTCCTGTTTCCCATTTCAGTTTTCCTTCTTTTTTTTTTAGCACTGTCGAGTTCGCTATCTGATGCAGACAAACTACTGCTGCACTTGCCAGAAGGCGGGGTGGATTGTTGGTATTCCTCAGCAGCTAGTAGCTACCCCTGTTGCAGCTATTCGTCTTGCTCACTGTCACCCCCCCAAAGCCCCGAAACCCCGAACCCCATATGGTGCCGTCCCATTTGGAAACCCCGGCCTAGCCTAACCCACGAAATATTTATAACGTGTGGCTGTGTCCATGATTTAATTAAAAACTTTTGCTTGCATGCAGTAAAATGCACATTCGTCGACAAAAAGGGCAACTCGAAGGCCCACAAAGGGTCGAAATTAGATCGTATAATAGTGGAGTTGCACAACTGAAATTAGCCCAGCTCCAGAGGAATTACAATTGTTCACCGCACAGGCTAAAAGTATGCATTTAACTACGAACAACTTTTAATAAACGCATAACGGTTTAATTATATCGTTTGCATTGGTTTGCCACTATTATTGGTACTATTTGATCGGGAGTCGAATGGAAGTTGACGTTTCGAATTCCATGTAATTATCTATATCTGTTTACAACTGTATGTATCTTCGACTTAAAATAATAAATAATAAAAAATAAATTTTCTCAATTCAGTCGAAGAGTGCACTGAT